TATGTCCCGGAAGAACAGGAGACTCAGAGAGAGGGGAGCTGAAGTCACAGGAAGGGGAGTGGGGGGTGTGTAAGAGGAGAGGTAGGTTGATGTCATGTTGAGAAACTTGGACTCGTTCTCATGAGCAATAGGGAGCTATTGAAAATTGTAACCATAGGACCAATAAGAATTGTCCATAGGAAGAATGGTGGTGACAGGGTGAAGTCAGCTTTCAACTGGATTCTTTTATTTTTTAAGCCAATCGAACTGATAATATAACATTGCATGTTAATAGTTTCAAAGATAATTTTGACAAGCTCCAATTTTTAAATAGCACTTTCCTTATTTTAAAGGTAACATATGGTCATGTCAAACAAACTTGGAAAATAGAAAAAAGAAGAAAATTATATTTATTGCAAATGACACAAGCTATAAGTAATTATTTGATTTTTTATTGAAGTAGAGTCAGTTTACAATATTGTGTCAATTTCTGAGGTACAGCAGAATGTGTCTCAACTGGATTCTTACAAGGGCCCCCTCACTGGTCTTCCTGATTCTACCCATGGCCCATTCATCTCTTCTCAGTATTGCAACTGAAGCAAGACTCTTAAACCTAAATCAGATTAGATCTGTTATTCACTCAACACACCTCAATGGATTCCTGTGTCACTCTTCTACCCGCCCAACACTACCCATCACATCGTCCCCTATGTACCCCACTTGCTTGGCATCAGCAACACCAGCCTTCTTGCTGTTCATCAGACATTCCAGGTCTTTGCTTGTGCTCTGCCCCCTCTCTCCAGAGCACCCTTCTCAGATAGCCACATGTCTCACACACTCACCTCTTCCAGACTATTGCTCAAGTGTCACCTTCTAGTGAGGCTCTCACTGACCACCTGTCTGTGTCATAGTGGGATAGGTTACACAGTAACTGGGTCACAGGTCACCTGCTATCCTAGTGACCCAAAGACCCAGGCTAATAGAATGACCATGATCTCATGTGGTGCTGGTGGCCAGGCCGGATGGCAAAGGGAGAGATCGAGCTCTAGAAGGATCTCATGTCAACAATGAAGTCACACATATCATACTCCACTCAACTCATTGCCCCAATTACCCACAAGAGGTCCAGGAAGTACAGCCCAACCACGTGCCTAGAAGCGAGGCTTGGGAGTATTTAGCAAGTCATGCCAATGACTGCACAAACTGCAGGCTCATCCTGACATTCCTATGGTTCTTCCTTGCTTTGTTTTTCTTCATAGCATTCGTTTCTATGTCGTATATTTAGGTATTTTAATGGTTTATGGGGATGTAGATTACGTAGGATAAAATTCACTCATTCCGACTGTACAACTAAATGATTTTTGGTAAAGTTGTAGAGGTATACAACAATCACCATCATCTAGTTTTGAACATTTCTATCACCTGGAAAAGTTCCCTCCTGACTACTTGCAATTAATCCCCACTCCCACCCACCCCAGCCTGAG